TGACCCGTCTCGGCACGAAGTCTTTCCCGCAGGCGGACGCGAATTGTTCCATCCGGGTGGTGCCACCGATCTCTGCCAGGTCGACTGGTGCCAAAGCGGCTAGTCATCCCCTGCTGCTCGTCATTCTCAGTACTGGCATGCTGGCCCAGTTGTGTCGTGCAGGCCGGTCTCCCACGAAGTCGACGTTTGTCAATGACCTGATATAGCCAGTCAGGGCCTTGTGCAGGAGGTTCAGGTTGCACCTGGTCTTCATGTACAACAGGTTCACTTGAGGATGTTGGTTCCCAGGCAGTCCAGGAGGGGTAGAAGCTCTGCGGGCCCACCTGGTTTTGCTGCGTATTCACCGATGTGGGTGTCCACGAGGAAGACGAAGCGCAGGAGGAAGACGTAGAGCACGCTGAGGTCGCCATGGCTGAGGTAGAACACAGTGACATAGGCAATGGTGGGCTCGAGGAGGATGAGGCAGTCCTGGAGAAGTCATCCCTTAGTACCGACGGAGTAGAAGGGGAGGTTTTCAAAGTCACCCCCAAAAGCTCCGAAGACGAACAGGGTGTGTCCGGCCAATCCCACTCAGGCAAAGGTTTTATCTCTTCATCCTCTTTGAGTTGCTCCAGGCCAAGGAGGTCCACAGTCACCCCAGCTGAGGTATTCTCCGGAGTGCTGGCAAGTATGGAGGCCGGGATCTCAATGGGATCCGGTGCCACCGGTCCTTCAGCCCCATTGCTGGGATCATGTGTTGCAGCGTCAAGTTCTTCTTGTTGAAGTCCCAGGCAAAGTTCCTCATCCCACGCGCTGGACATGTGTTCGATCAGGGCAGACTGCGAGAATGGTGGGGTTTGGCACGGCGTGGTCGAAGATGTCCAAGGCGTGGAAGAGCTCGACGAGGCGGCCGCATTGTTTTCCATGGACGGGTCGTTCCTCCAGCTGGCCTCCCAAAGGTGACCCGGGTAGATCTCATCCTCTTCCATGGCGAAGGTCACGGTCAGGAGATGTCGCCCCACGAAGGTCCCCCACAGCAAGGGGAAGACGAAAAGGGCCATGATGGAGAGGCGGCGTGTGAAGGGCGCGAGGGTTTCCACAAACACCTGGAGCCAAGGCCACAGATGGTAAGCAAGGTTGCCATAGTTGCATACAATCAAGACGTAGTCATAGTAGTACATTCACTGTGAGACCGTTCAAAGCGTTCACAGACCAGACATGGAATCATACAGTCATCAGTCTCAAAGAAAAGCAGACACTGAGGATGCCCATGAGAGGCTCACCCCTACACGACTCAGCCCGTCAAGGTTTCACAACATGTAGGGACCACACTTCCAGTCACCCTCGGGGGGCTCGCTGTTAGACGAGCGTGTCT